TTCTTGCCACTTTCAATCCCTCCGGTATTGAAATCTTGCTTGGGGGGAGATGTACCGTTCGGGCACTCCCTGTGCTTAGAACGGTATCAATCCCTGCAGGATTGCAACATCAGGTGATCGTGTCATCACCATCGCACTCTGCAACACATGCAGATTCATCAGTCTCCTTGGAAGGATATTCCCTTCATTTCATTCATGTATTTCCATGCCGTTTCATTCCTTTTCATATATCACCATGCCTCTTCGTATATCACTATGCCTACACATTTGTTTCGTTTATCACCATGCCGTATCCTTAGATACGTATTTCCTTTATCTATCTCTGACTTAGTTGCCGTATCCGCATCTACATAGTTACGAGGGCTAGTACTACAGTATATAAGCTACAGTACTTGCCCTGTAGTTCCTCAGTTTAGACACCCACACAACAACAGCTATTCTTCTAGCCTTGTTCTTGGCATCTCTCTTAGCTCACTTCTCTTGATCATTCATATCTTTCTTGAGTGGTCTTTCTCTCCGTGTGTTTATCATTGTGTTGATCCCAAGATCTTGAAGTTCTTGTGATCAGGTACGGACTGTAGTGCACAACCGCGGAGCTCTTACCTGGCTCCGTACTAGCGAACATCGACTTGGCTACGCGCCGGTACTGCCTGTCTTCGCGACGGCGTGACTACACAAGAAGACGACGACTCTCAGATATTGACGACGTGGACGAGGAACGTCTGGCTCTGCGCCCGGGAATTTAAAGTCATTTCTTACTCGGGTGGTTTGACAGTGTCGTATATACTTGCAAGGGTAAGGTTTCGTTATCATTAACGTGACAGCTGTATTGAGCGCGCCTTTCCCGTAGATCACGATGCTGATGCTCGCCGTGAGTCCATCTTTCGGTTTTCAACCTTCTCCGTATTCATGCCCACTCACAGACGTTGACCCCATTCCACCAGATTCAGATCCAGAGACACCTTAGTATGGAGACAGCATCCGCCAAGCTTGAGTAAGTTGTCTTCGCCCATTTTGACTTTGCTAACGGCCAGCTTCCTGGCAGTGGCATCGGACTGGCAGGGTCGTTAGCGCCATCGACTGTCTAAAACGCCGACTCTACCCTCTCTGGTTCTTCTTCCAACGGTATCACTACGGTCTGCGGATACCCCTCGCACGATCGTGCATCATAACACTGTCCTGTTACTCAACTGACTGACACATTAGGACGGAGGCTTCGTCTCTATGCGACAACTTCGGGCGACGCCTTGACTGGGCCCTAGGCGCTGTCGCGTACAACTTGCACGTACGAAGTTCGACCGAGCCATATGGAGCACTGCGTACCCTTTAAGTTTACTCGTCTGGACGGTTCTCGAACTAGTACAGTACCATGTAGAATGGGACTTTCTGGCAAGGACTGATGGAGTACTGCCCATATAATCTGAATGGTCTCATTTGTGTACACACGACAGTAATATTATCCATTTTTATGAGCTGGCATCAGCATTCCGCGAGGGAACGAGAAAACGGAGAGTCGGATTTGATACCATTTCGCTGATAAACGAGACGAGAATGGGACGGGTTCAGCGGTTTGTTTTTATTGCTGGGTAGCGGCCTGGAAACACACTCCGAATGGGTTCCCACGCCGGTGTAACAGAACAGTTTCCGTTAACTTTGGAAGCTGCTCGAGAGGCATTTACGAAGGATCCTCTATCGGACGCCATACTTGGGAGGAGGCCGTTACTAAGCGGTATTGGCTGTCCACGGTCTGTTGGAAAACGTGTTGGAGAGTGAAGCTGACAAGGGTGGACAAAGTGATGAACTGTTGCTAGTAACGGCTAGCAATCATTAGGGCAGTACTAAGTACAATTGCAGTGCGAACGCGGACATGGATTTAAATTGATGGTTGGACATACATACACATATAAGTAAGGTAATGGCGCCACATTCCAGTGAGCACGTCATATTTTATGATAAGCCATATCTAGGAGGGAAGGCGCGCAATGGTCATTGATCAAACCCACGAATCCCATCAAACTGAATGAGCAAATCCATCCCGTCCTCGCATAATCCACGAAGAACAGAAGCGTCGTGACCATGGAAGAGAGCTTCATGTCTACGCAACTCGTACATCTCGGGGGGATTCCGGTCACGGGGAGTTGTATATAGAGCAAAGTGGAACTTTTCGAGTTTTGATAGCCCGGCCTCATTGCCTGCATGCCGGGCGTTGAGCGCAGCAACAAAGTCGTCGTGAGGTGCAAGGCCCGGGTAAGGAATACAGTGCAGGTCTGAATGATCATTCACCGTGATGTCAAGTGAGACTAGTCGAGGGAGGAAAGTGGCGGTATGCACTGGGACAACCTCTAGAGCGCTCATCACATCCATGATTTGTGTTACACTCCAATCATCTGGTGCAGGAACGTCATGTGGTGCAGCAATGTTTTCTTGAAAATTGAACATCGATGCCCGCAGCTGCAGCGTAGCAAGTTTGGTGGTCTGAGAGAGAATGGAGAGGAGGAGATGGGGTTCAGAGTGATGTAGAGTTAACGGCACCTCATTGATCCGCAGCTCGGTGAGATTGCTTGCGCAATTGGAACGTTGGATGAGGCAATAGAAGGAGTAGAGTGTATCAGGATACTCGGAATCAATATCTCCTCCGTCAAGAGTAGCTACTTCCAGTTGGGGCAGGGTGAGAGAATCTAGGAGATAGGGATGGATCGCGCTCAGGTCGCGAATGCATGGGAGGATTATGGATTGTTGGAATGGGTCTTGCACAGGCTCCTGTGAAACCACACAAAGGATTTCAAGCCACGGACACTGGCTAAGCAAGTCCACACAGCCTCTGACATAACCGGCAGGACAATACGGCTCAAGGTTGGACAAACGCAAACATGCAATCTGTTTCACCGGAAGCTCGACCATACGAGGATTCCCGTCTCTGAGGGTTACATTCACCAGATGGGGACAATCCTTGAATGCCGATATGTCAGAGTCCATATCCCATGGGAATGCAAAATCCAAGAGTTCCAGCTGAGGCAGCCGCCCGCGAAGAGGTGCATGCAGTAAATCCGGCCTGACTTCGTCGTAGTGCCAATCCAGACGTGCTGTCCGCCATCGATGGGATTCTGCAAACACCTTCTCTCGCATACGGCGTAGGAAAGGAGAATCCCCAATGGGGTGAAAGTTGCAAAGGGTGATATCGAGCGAATGCTGGTGGGAACGCTCGAGGACAAAGGCTAGGATTTCTACATCCCTCTCAGAACCTTGCCATTCTGATGAGGCATGAAGCACAACGGACGACCAGCATGAATGGAGAGACAAAGCAAGATCGCGCCAGGTCTGGCACACCTGGCTGAGTTGCCAAATGGTGCGGGAGGGCCAATCAAACAAGTAGAGGTCGGAGTCCAAGGAATGTGCATACAGGAAGATCTCAGACCAGATCTCTGGGGGATACGACGTTGTGTGGAAATGATATTTTCATAATTCTGTTTAATGTTTTTCAGCGCGTCTCGCTCCTGCTCAAAGGACTCGAGAGCGAGCCGCGCTGCGGTGACGGCGGCATCGACAGACAAGATATCCTGGTCAAGAACAGGCAGGATGGTGGTCTGGATATCGGACAGTTCTAGGACTGTCGGAGGAAGGTTGGACACGGAAAGGTGATGAAAAGGAATAGCGGTTTGGTCTTGGCGTTCAAGACGAGCGCTACGCTGGGGAGAGCCCCGCATGGCGAAAAGTTGGATTCCATAGACGTATCTCGCAATCTGTGATAACGGGTGAGATGCCAGCGTGCGTGAATTAGGTATAAACGAACCAGGTGCCCGTAACAGAGACTCGAAGTAACAAGGACGCTTGTACTAGATCGGCAATGAAGGATGTTGGGAGACTCGTCGATGAAGGATTTGAGAAACGATGAACTCGATGAACGATGTTGGGAGAGACGATGAAGGATGTTGGACCAGAGACGAAGGATGTTGGTAGAAATAAGCGCCGTTAAACAGACGCGTCGTCGACAAGTGCGTCTGTCAGATGTGTGAACAACTATGACGACCGTGAAGACGCGAACGCACTTATGTGCAGTGGGATGGGCTGGCTGGTAGGTAGGTAGGTAGGTAGTGAACGAGGTCTAGTAAGAACGCTAACGATCAGGTATCAATGATGATGATGATGATGGTTACAAGGAACAACTGGTGGGCGAGTGATCACGAGCGCTTCCCCTTCTGTCCAGCGACTTCAAGCCCGGGCCGACAGGAATACCACCCACCAACCACACAATCGCCTCCTTACCTTCAAAACTGCAGATCGTAGCAGGATGCATCACATAGACTTCGTTTGAACCAAAAGATTCCCAACTCAGCGAACTTATACAACAGTCAATTCAGAATTCCGGCGCCCGGGAGGCCAATAGCTAGCTCAACTGTAACGATGCTTAGAGCCCTCGATATCACAACAGTTGAGAGCGCCTTGAGCCTTACGAGGACCGACCTCTTCCTGACTTGCTGACTAAGACGTTTCCTGCTTCCTTTCCACCATCACAATTTGAAGATGCATGCGTTCATCCTAACCGGAGAGAGGCCCCCTTCGTTGGAAATCCTCAAGGACATCGCGGATTTCAAGCAGCGGCTGCGGGAAGATGCAGAGAGACAAGCGGACGTCACCATCTTTCCGAAGAAGTGGCTCTCCATTAAAGATATCATATCTCTCTCCACCAGGATGAGAATGGCGGACAATGAGGTCCTGTTCGACGTATATAATCTGTGTGCCGGGGACATCCACATCGCCTTGATCACAGTCTCCAACGGAAACGCGCAGCTAATTCGTCACTCGTGGGCACGAGGAAACGAGAACGAAGTTGTCAAAAGAGATTGGAGGCTTCAACATCTAACATGTAACAAAGCAAGCCGTTGGTGTTTTAAAAGTATTCTTCGGAATATCATTAGTACCTGGTAAATTGCGGTAGGTAGTATTTTGTCGCCGCCACACGAATCCTGCTAATCAACACTCTATATTGCGAGGACCACTCATCTCTGATAGTATATCGGTTAGTACACGCGCCTGTCATCGGGAACAAATATACATATCTATCCGCGCGAAAGCTGGGTTCGACTCCCAGTCAGAGAGTACTAGGAGACTTGTATTGTTTTGCTGAAATGGTGTCGAGTCGGCGTCGCGCGCGTTTTTGAAATTTGAATCTTCAATATTTATTATTGATTCTTCATGTTAAACGTTTCAATCTGGACTCTGGAGGTCAGTGACAAGGTAGGGTGGATGCTCCCAGAGAGGCCTCATACACCACTCATACACCCTTCCTGCAGATGAAGATCAGTGCCAGAGGGGTAACCCGTGTTGTTTCAGAGCGAGGCATGTTTTCCTTCTCGTACTCTGTCCGTTCCCCCACGGAATGCTGACAGCTCATTAAAATGGACAATTTTACTGTTGTATGTACATAAAGAGGACCTCGAGGACGGCGAGGAGTGTTGGCAACAGTTACTCCTCCCGTTCGATGAATCCGAGCATTAATTATGCGAATCCTCACCGTACACATCCCAGAAGTCAAGAACGATGCAGTTTCGCTCCCATAGGTGCTCATGATTTTGAAGGAGTAAAGGCCGCGCTGTTATTCATGACATACAGAAAGTGCTACCCATGAACCCGTGAGGCAATAAGCGATACAAGGTACAGCAAATGAACAACGAGAAGAAATGGAATGAGCACATTCAATCAGCCGAGTCCGGTTGAGGCCACGAAGAAATCTGTGTCGCCTTACCTACCAACTCAAAGCTCGCGCTCAGCCGCCCCGGAACATCAACCACAAAATGATACGCCCCAGGATAGACCCACATATTTCCCGCCTCGTCTGCGCGCGCAATGGACCCCAGCGTGACATCCAGCCGCGCCGTCGCCGTCGCCCTCCGCGCTACATCATGCACGCGCGTGTACGCGACGAGCCGCTTGTTCGGGTGCGGCGTCGGCCCGTACGTGCCATTCACGAAGAGCAGCGCAGAGTAGTCTGACTTGACGCCCCCGACATTCGTCACCTCCACCTCAAACGTGCCGAATGGCGCGAGGTCCGTGGTAGCGACGAGCGCCTCGATCCGGTACGACTTGGCCGGCCCCCGCGCCCACTTCAACTGAAAGTCCGTGTAGTGCAGCCCGAACCCGAACTCGTAGACCGGTGCGCCGCTGTACCAGATGTACGTGCGCCCGGGGTTGGACGCGCTGGGGCGGAGGGTCATGTCGGTCATGGCGACGGCGTCGACGTACGAAGCCGGGTACTGCGTCGACACGAGTCGACCAGACGGGGACACTTTGCCTGAAATGATGTCAAAGAGCGCACCGCCACCGCTCTGGCCGGGGTAGCCAGCCCACAGAAGTGCGTTGACCTTGTAATAAGTTGACATCAGATTATGGGGGATTGTATCAGCACAAAGACGTACCGAGTTGCTCCCCTTGAGCTCGCTGCTATCAACCTGGCCGCCGCCGAATTGGACGACGACAAGCGGCTTGCCTACAGCTTCCAGCTCCCTGATCAAATCGAGCTGGTTCCCAGGCCATGAGATCGCGACTCGATCTCTATCTTCCCTCTCGACGGTATTGTCGATACCGCCAGCGTAGACGATAGCATCGGCGTCCTCAGCAGCTGCTATCGCAGCTGCAAATCCGCTTGTATCCTGGGAGTTCATAGCGGTTCCAAACGCAAAGGCAACGCTGTATCCAGCCTGCTGCGCGCCTTGGATGGGCCCGACGTAGGCGGCAGCTGGTCCCTCATAGTTGCCCGTCATGGTGGTCGTTGCGTTTGCCCAGGGACCAATAAGCGCGATCTTCTTGATAGATGAGCTGAAAGGGAGGACGCCGTCATTCTTGAGTAGAGTGACACCCTCAGACGCCGCCTTATACGCTAGCTCTTGGGCTTCCTCGGTATTTACATCTGACCAGGTGAACTGGCGATACGGTTGTGACTCTGCCGGGTCGAAGTAGCCCAAGCTGTTGAAGAGCTACTCAGAAGAATTCGACAGTGATAGAGATGCGGAACATACCGAACCAGAGATATATATAGACGAATCAACGAATTCCTCAGCTTGTCCTCGGTCGTCAAGCCCTGCTCCAAAGCTGCCCAAGCTGTTGTTGGTATGCGCTGCCACAGTCAACATCTGTACCCGCATTCAGACCATCGGCAGCGCCCTGCGGTGCAGTGTCGGCAAAGTGGTGTGCCGCGAAGATGTTGCCAACAGCACCACAATCGCCCGTGATCCACTTGTCCTCGCCCAGCTCAAGGTGATCCCTCAGCACGTCCTGTAGCAAGAAAGAGCTCGCACACGACGGGACGCCGTTGACAGCATTATAGCTGCACATCACCGAAGCGACCTTGGCATCGCGTACGCAGGTTTGGAACGCGGGAGTGTAGAACTCGCTGAGGTCTTGCTGAGAAATGATGGCATCAAAGGAGAAGCGCGAAACGCCTTCCCAGATTTCAAGATCGTATCCAACGAAATGCTTGCAGTCCGCCGCGATCAAGTACTTGGCTGGGTCGAGGCCGCCCTGTAAACCGAGAACGAGGTTGTAGACGTATTGGGATGTGTGGAATGGATCCTCTCCGGGCGTTTCCTGGCCACGACCCCATCGAGGATCTTTGAAAGGATTGATATTTGGCGTAAAGTAGTCCAGACCGGCCCGACCAGCGCTGTTAAACGCTCGTGCTTCTTTGCCTATGATGGAGGCAATTTGATGGACGAGCTCATCGTCAAAGGCCGCCGAAGTAAGGATGGGTTCTGGGAAGGAGGTTGCAGAGCTGAAGTCGCCCGAAGCGCTAAAGTTCAGGCCGGGGCTAAGAGCAACGCCATGCTGATGTCAAGGTCAATTCAAAGAATGCTAGATAGCCAAATTAGCTTACTAGAGCCTCGCTCCACCATTCATACGGAGGAAGACCGAGGCGCTGTACACCGGCGGCAACGTTGCCACTGTTCGCGATGAGTTCGTCAACGGTCAACAGGTTGACCAAGGCAGTAGCTCTCGCCCTTGGATCCAGAGAGGTGTCGCAGACGCCATTTTTGGCTAGGGGACCATTGACGCAGTCCGGAAATTCGGCCGCCACCTGTGAAGCAGCGAGACGAAGAGACGCAAGGACTAGCAGGGCGTGCAGAAGTCCCAACATGATTAATTCTGCTATGCTGGGGGCTCTCGGTCTCGGCAAGCGAGGCTTTATGTGTTGCGAATGGTACTCGTGAGCATCAAACAGAAGTCTCCGCCCTTTGTCAGCTGCAGAAAGAAGCTGGCGTGGAACCTCCATGTACGCCAGACGTCAATGGCTCCGATGTCGGTCCGTGTCTAGTATGCCATGAGGCTTTATGTTTGAAGCGCGGAAAGGCTGAGAACCGACCTAGCGGGCCGTGAAGTGAGGGCGCGATGCGTGTCTGGAAGGAAGGAAGGAAGAATGGCATCCCAGCAGCCTCTGATTAGGCCGCCAAGTACCGCGCCACGTGTGTACCCGTGCATACGCCACGGCACACCGCTGGATTTCTGTTTGCACTCTCAGTCTACAAGAAAACACGTCACAACTCGCGGTCCCGTGGCAGAAGTACGGCAATTACTCACATGGGATGGTAGTCACCAGATTCACGATCTGATTCCAGAGGACGAGTTCTTGGAAGAGTCTGGTCAAGCAACGAGATTACGAACTGCTGACAGCTCTATACCCAGGTCCTGGTGTTCATTTACGTGCCGTAATCCACGCTTTATCAAGCCTTAACGAGGTCATGAGCACTTCGCACGGAGAGCCGACACCGCGATGATGACCGTAGCTGAGAAGAACGAAGGCATTACTTTCTTGCAAGTATCCTAAGACCATACACTGACTGATCTACGAAAGGTTAGAGTCTTCTTGACGTTGATCGAGAGGCCGCTCACATACATGTCGTATATCCTGCATGTGTCAAGTCGCAATAGAGCATATTTGCAGCCGCCTGCCGTCTCCATCTCGTCTCGAAAGAAACGTCACGTCTTCGCAGGTTTCGAAGCCGGCGTCAACGCGTTGCGTTTTGGGCTTCTGGTCAAGATGGATTCACAAAATGTACTAGCAAAGTACTAGCTCTGAGGGCTCCCAATGTCAGTGGCATTGAGACTGGTTGATTGTGGTCCTTGCGCTTCGACGAAGAATATTGCCCGCAAAAAGGCATGTGTCCAAAATGAAAATTTTGCATATTCATGCTAGTTGATGTAAATACTATCGTATCTTGCGCAAGAAATTTGAGGTCGATGAAGCTGAATATAGGCGCAATTAATAGCGGCTAAGTGGGAAATGGAGACTACACACCACGCACCGCCCCTCACTCTCGAGGTTCCCGTTCAGCAGAGCTCCGTCTCCCAAGCATATTGTGCTCGCTGTATAGTTATGTCCTACGTATCATCGCGCCCGATATCGTCGTGTGTCTACCGAATCGTCGTCGGCGTCATAGAAAGCCTCGTCTGGTAGATGTCGCCGCCGCCGTCTTGGCGGACTTCACAGTGTCACCCTCTGTGACGCTGTGCTCAATCACATATTTGAAACTCCGCTTCAAAGTCCGCCGAGCCCGTTCGGGCAAGTTTTCAGTCACGTACGGCGGTAAAAAGGACCGGTTACCCTTCCTCAATCAGGCGAGCGGCTCAGTGTCAGTCATGGCTCTCAATCATGCATCCTCGAGCACTGACAATATTGATTTCAATTCTAGCCGATTTCTATCCAAATATCCACGCCATACAATGCAGGAAGGGCGCCAGATAAAGGTCGGCGTCCTGGGCGCAACGGGCACCGTCGGACAGCGATTTATCACCCTCCTAGCCGCCCATCCTTGGTTCGTTATTGACGCCCTTGGCGCATCGTCTCGGTCCGCGAATAAGCCATACGCAAAGGCCGTTAAATGGAAGCAGACCACTCCTATACCCTCCACCGTGCGCGACCTCATCGTCGTAGAGTGCACACCACAGCACTTTGCAAACTGCGCCATCGTCTTTTCTGGACTCGACGCGGACGTTGCAGGCGATATCGGTACGCTCTCCCATCCTCGATCTTGAAATCGTGTTGACTCAAGTCGCGTAGAGGCTGCCTTTAGATCGGCCGAACTCGCCATCTTCTCCAATGCTAAAAATTTCAGACGAGATCCACATGTACCCCTCATCGTACCCCTCGTCAACGCCTACCATCTCTCCATGATCCCCCAACAGCAGTCACTCCACTCACCACCGTTAAAGAAGGGCTTTATCGTAACCAATGCCAACTGCTCTACCACCGGTTATGTCATTCCGTTAGCCGCTCTCGAAAAAGCATTCGGTCCCATCGAGTCAGCCCTAGTCACAACCATGCAGGCCGTCTCAGGCGCGGGCTACCCGGGCATTTCCTCGCTCGACATAATGGACAACGTCATCCCCTACATTGGAGGCGAGGAGGAGAAGATGGAATGGGAGACACTCAAAATACTCGGTGGCATCGCAGAAGGCGACGACGGCGTCAAGTCTTTTGACATGCACTCGCGCCACCCCCTCCGCGTCTCTGCGTCATGTAATCGCGTCCCGGTCATCGACGGCCACACAGAATGTGTTTCCGTGCGTTTCGCACGCAGACCCCCGCCGAGTCCTCAGCAGGTTCGCGAAGCCATGGCTGCCTTCAGTCCCGATGCCCAGGCGCTGGGCTGCCCTTCCGCACCCCGTCATACCATCCAGGTGCATGAGGAGCCAGATCGGCCGCAGCCACGTCTCGACCGGTATTACCAGGACGGCGCTGGCGTATCAGTAGGCCGCGTTCGCCAGTGCCAGGTCCTCGACATAAAGTTTGTCGTTCTCGCGAACAATGTCTCCATTGGAGCAGCCACCAGCAGCATCATAAATGCAGAGCTGGCTGTGCTCAAGGGTGTTGTTCCGTCGTAGGATTAGAAGAATATGACAATAATTGTAGTTTTACTCGTACCTTAGAAACAGGAGTGTTCATGGTAATGGCGTAACCGTACATGAAGCGTAGTAGTAGCCAACGGATGGCGCTGGAAGTACATCTGCATTCAGCCGCCACATTGTCGGATGATCCCCGGATATACATAAACTTCCTGGGCTAAAACGAATGCAGAGATTAGTGCGAGATGAAACACGGAGCTATATCTCTGGTGTTTCTTCCAACGGTATCACTACGGGCTGCGAATCGCACGTTCGTTTACTTTTCTGTGCATCGTAACACTGTCCGGCGTCTCACTCAACTCAGGACGTGACACATTAAGGCGGAGGCTTGGTCTCTGATTCAAGGCGGCGACGCCTTTCGCACAGAACTTGCACGTATGGAGTTTCAACGAATGGGACCTGCTATCTACCAAACCTCTAACCGTATTTTCGGGAGCCTATGTCGCTAAAGAAAATGACTTCTGTAAAGTTTGCCAGCACGAGTGTAAGGCATGAGGTCCTATTTATGTACATACAACAGTAAAATTGTGCATTTTAATGAGCTGTCAGCATTCCGTGGGGGAACGGACAGAGTACGAGAAGGAAAACACCAATTGGCATGCCTCACTCTGAAAGAACACGGGTTACCCCTCCGGCACTGATCTGCATCTGCAGGAAGGGTGTATGAGTTGTACAGTATGAGGTCTCTCTGGGAGCATCCACTTCCAGTCCCGGCCCCCGCCGGGTTCACTGGCTTGACACTGACCTCCAGATTGAAATGTTTAACGTGAAGAATCAAGATTCAAAAACTCGCCGAGTCCCGAGGGCGGCGGGCTAACTCAACACCATGGTCCATTTCATCTAGAGTGGTGCAATAAACCCTAGGCTTTGATACACCAAGTTGGGTTTACTTACTGCAGTTTTTAACAGTATCGATACAGTATTGAAAGACAGTCTCGATACTGGCGTGACTGTGTGCTGGTTCTGAGGACAAGCAGGGATTGGCGGCACAGAGGCGGGATCAGGGCGGCGCGCCGCTGCGCCACATCACGTGGTTGAAAGCATGTGGCGGTATCGAAACCGTTAGTAACGGGTTCAAAACTACGGGGTCAGTATTGATACCGTTACTAACTGTTAACACCTCCAGGAGGTTCACTACGCCACGCTAATTTCATCAAAAGAAAAACGGGGTTTTACTCTTCCTACTCTCTGACTGGGAGTCGAACCCAGCTTTCGCGCGCAATGATGATTCGCGTATCGTGATGACAGGCGCGTGTACTGACCGATATACTATCAGAGATACCCCTTGGAAGTTATAGAGTGTTGATCAGAAGGATTCGGCTACAAAATACTACCATTACCAGGTACTAATGATCTTCCGAAGAACACGTTTAAATTAAATGTTAGACGTTAGATGTTGAAGCCTCCGATCTCTTTTTAACAACTTCGTTCTCGTTACCTCGTGCCGTGCGTTAAGTTGAAAGAATTAAGAGTCCATGTAAAGTGCATATCCACGTCAAACCGTCAGTCTATTTGAAGGATACTTCGCTCGACCCTGTGGCTGTTGAGGTTCGCTCGACAACCCCAGACTAAGTAGCAACTGTTCGATAAACGAAAGTTATCAGACTACAGCGATTCATCAAAGCCCCAGACGCCCTTGCACAAAACGAATAGGCGAGAAAGGCAAAGCCTCGGCGTCGAGCATCCCCGCCTGTATAACACTATCGATGTACTGCACGGCGCTAAAGCTGAACCACAGTCCGACCCACATGAACCCAACCAGTCTCCAGCCCGATCCCGCTATTCCCAGGTGTTTCCCGGTGCCAATGACCGTCTGCTCGAACACGATACCAGCGGCTTGGAGGAGGAAGAAGGGCATGGATCTGCTACTGTGCTTCAAATCCATCATGGCGTCGCCGCGCAGTGCATAAGCCCAGAAACAGCGAACGCGGTGACGAGGAGTGTCGCGTACGCTCAGGCTGCGAATGAGTTTTTGTTCTTCCCGAACAAGGTGCGCACGGCTTTGCCAACGGCGGTGACGTTCTGTCGCAAGTCAAAATTTAGAAGGCGCTAAGAAGAGAGTGGACTGAATGTACCCTTGTAACCATTTGGTGCCATGTCCTCCTAGAAGCGACATGATGAACAATATTCATCTACCAGAGAAAGACTTTACGCACCCTCTGATTGTGTACGTGTTTTTCAGACTACCAAAGTTATTCGGCCAGTCCGAGGGTTCCGATAATCCCAAACTGACGTGAATGATGCCCAGAACTGCGTACTGCACGACGAGACCGCAGCTGATGAGGACGGCCGTCATGACAATGATGAGTGTACGCCACGGATATGCGAGGGTAAGAAAGGGCTGCGCGGCTGTCGAAGAGAATGTTTGTGGATTCCGAATGATGTAAATCTGTGTCGCGTCCAAAATAACGTAACAGAGTAAGTATGGCGCGTCGAAGACTCCTTCTCGCGAATTGGCTGCGCATTTCCGGTGGACTGGTATTGGGAGGCTGCAGTAGGAAGAGGAACGAAGACTTCAGAAGATTCGCGAAAATAGTGGCAGCAATACTGTACTCACAGGCTGATAATTCCACCCGATGCCGCGAAGGCTGAAGATGATGCACGAACACCAATACGACCTGTACCAGATCCCATCCAGCACTAGTTGAGCTAGCTATAGGGCTCCCGGGTGCGTGGAATTCTGAATTGACTGTAATATAAGTTCGGTGAGTGGGGGTAGGAGAGAATCTTTTGGTTCAAACGAAGTCTATATAATGCATCCTGCTATGATCTGCACCTTTGAAGGTAAAGAGGCGATTGTGTGGTTGGTGGATGGTATTCCTGTCGGCTCGGGGCTTGAAGCTTGAAGCTTGAAGTCGCTGGACAGAAAGGGAAGCGCTCGTGATCACTCGCCCACGGTTGTTCCTTCTGACCATCATCATCATCGATACCTTATCGTTGGCGTTCCCCGACCTCGTTCACTACCAGCCCATCCCACTGCTCATAAGTGCGTTCGCGTCTGCACGGTCGTCATACTTGTTTACACATCTGACGGGCGCATTTGTCCACGACGCGTCTGTTTGACGGCACTTATTTCTTCCGACATCCTTCGTCGTCTGGTCCAACATCCTTCATCGTCTCTCCCAACATTCTTCCTTGCCGATCTAGTACAACCGTCCTTCTTACTTCTGTTACGGGCACCTGGTTCGTTTATACCTAATTTGTGGCACGCACGCTGGCATCTCACCCGCTATCACAGCTTCTATGGAATCAAACTGTTCGTCATCCGGGACTCTCCCCGGGCGTAACGTTCTTCTTGAACGTCACGACCAGGCCACTATTCCTTTTCATCACCTTTTCGCGTCCAACCTTCCGCCGACAGACCGAGAACTGTACGATATCCAGACCACCATCCTACCTGTTCTTGACCAGGATATCTTGGCCGTCGACTCGGATGCTGCAGTCACCACAGGGCCTCTCGCTCTCGAGTCCCTTGAGCAAGAGCGAGATGCTCTAAAGACAATAAAACAGAATTATGAAAATATCATTTCCACACGACGCCGTATCCCCCCAGAGATCTGGTCTGAGATCTTCTTGTATGCACATTCCTTGGACTCCGACAAAAAGGTTTATCGGGCCTCCCGCACCATTTGGAAACTCAGCCAGGTGTGCCAGACCTGGCGCAATCTTGCTTTCTCTCTCCATTCGTGCTGGTCATCCATTGTGCTTGAATACTTCTCTTCGGAATTGCAAGTTTCCAGTGAGAGGAATGTAGAAATCCTAGCCTTTGTTCTTGAGCGCTCCCACCAGCATTTGCTGGATATCACCTTTGGCTATCTCGGCAGTGGAGATCTTCCTTTTCCACGCCGTATGCGAGAGATGGTGTTCGCAGAATCCCATCGATGGCGGACAGCGCGTTTGGCTGATTACCACGAAGTCAGGCGGGATTTACTGTATGCACCTCTTCGCGGGCGACTGCCTCAGCTCGAACGCTTGGATTTGCACACCGTACCCTTTGAAGGTGCAGTAATATCGGCTTTCATGGATTGTCCACGTCTGGTGAAGGTAACCCTCTTCGGGCCGGATCCTCGTGTGGTCGAGCTTCCAGTGAAACAGATCACATGTTTGCATTTGCGCGCCAATTTTGGGGATAGTAATTTCAGAGCCTATGCGGACTTGATTGGGCAGTGTTCGTTGCTTGAAATCCTTTTCGTGGATTCAGTAAGCGAGCCCGTGCAAGACCCACTCCTGCAATCCCCCACTCACCCATGCCTTCGCGACCTGACCACGACCTGTCCCTATCTCCTCGATTCTCTCACTGTACCCCAACTGGAAGTAGCTGCTCTTGACCAGAGAGTTAGTTGTTGTACTCCTGATACGCTCTACTCCTTCTGTTGCCTCATTCAACGTTCCAATTGTGCGAGCAATCTCACCGAGCTCAGGCTCATCGGGGTGCCGTTGACTCTACATCGCTCTGAACCCCATCATCTTCTCCTCTCCATTCTTTGTCAGACTATCAAACTTGGTGCCCTGCAGCTGGAGGCATCGATGCTTCGTTTCCAAGAAGACGACCCATTTCACGGAGGCGGTACACCAGATGATTGGAGTGTAACACAAATCATGGACATTATGAGAGCTCTAGAGGTTGTCCCAGGGCATACCGTCACTTTCCTCCCTCGACTAGTCTCACTCGACATCATGGTGACTGATCATACAGACATGGACTGTATTCCTTACCTTGAACCTCACGACGACTTTCTTGCTATGCTCAAAGCCCGGCGTGCAGGCAATGAGGTCGGGCTAGTATCAAAACTCGAAAAGTTCCACTTTGCTCTACGTACAGCACTCCTCGAGGGCCGGAACTTGAATCACCCCGAGATGTACGAGTTGCGTAAACATGAAGCTCTCTTCCATGGTCACGACGCTTCTGTTCTTCGTGGATTATGCGAGGACGGGATGGATTTGATCATTCGGTTTGATGGGATTCGTGGGTTCGATCAATGACATTGGGCGCCTTCCCTCCTAGATATGGCTTATCATAAAATATGACGTGCTCACTAGAATGTGGCGCATTAGCTTATATGTGTTCATATATCCAACCATTCAATTTAAATCCATGTCCACGTTCGCATAATGATTGCTAGCCGTTAGCAACAGTTCACCACTTTAGCCACCCTCTTCCGCTCGTCAGTTTCACTCTCTAACACGTTTTCCAACAGACCGCAGTGGACAGCTACATACCGCTTAGTAACGGCCTCCTTTCCAAGTACAGCCTCCGATAGAGGATCTTTCGTAAATCTCTCGAGCACCTTCCAAAGTTAACGGAAACTGTTCTGTTATTCCTAACGCTACACGTTGTTCGCGCCAACTTCAGTCAAGTCTGATTCGACGATTCCTCATGCGCCTACACCCAGAATCATGGCAAGAGCGAAATACTATCCTAACCAAAATGAACATCAGCTGAAGACGAAGATGCGATTGCACATACTTGGTTTGGTGATTCATCAGACCTCGAATTTTCGAGACAGAAGTCTCGCGATTATCTGTTCCCAAACAGATATACGTGCCTTCTGATACCATCCGCCATGCGCGAATAAGAAACTGGTAATCCTTTCCATGTTTCAAAGCTTCTGCTGAGAACGAGAACGACTCCTCAAAGGGCGCAAGGCACTCCGGTGTTTTCGCCACACCGTTGCCAGTGGTAGAGTGAAGGGACATCTGGATGTAGGCGCCACCGCTGCTTGAACGCCACGTGGTGGTTCGGGTGTAAGTAAGTAGATTAGAGCGTCGGCGGCCTTCAAAGAAGGGGGTGGAAGCGGACCGGTGGCGAATGCGATGCCCCCCGTTTAAAGAGTCAGATATCGTGCAAGATATGTGACTCGGTGCTGCCTACACTGCCTACAATAGGGCTTGGTTAGTAAGGGGAGGTTTGTAAACAACGTTTAAAACAGGCTGTTTTAAACATTATAAACCGACCAACTGCTGGACCCCCCCTGTTTTTAATGTTTTCAATTATGTCAGCACACGTGATGTTCCCGCCCCCCGATGTGTCGCAATCGCGCCTTGCGGAAGGCTGAACATGAGTCTGATTAGAGATTTTTCTAGTATACCTGATATCCTCAGTGCAGTAAGAACATCTCGGAGCACTTTGGTCAGATTTACCGAGTTCTTGAGGGTTCCCGGCAATCCCGGCAATCCGCAACCCACCCACCGTTGCATGAACAGCTCTCATATGCACAACACCTTGCCATTCAGACACCATTTACACTTGATACCGAAGTATATGCTTACTGGGGGTGA